TAAAACGATGTACGCCAAGCACAAAAACAAAGCAGCAGCAAAAAAGTTTCAATAGAAAATTGTTTGACAGTCAATCACTTGTTGTTGTTGGTGTTCTTCTTCATGTTTTCAACGGAAATGAATTTACCACCCTGGTGTCTGTCGTTGATGCTTGACATTCAAGAGTTGTGCGAATGACGATGAACGATTGATGCTGCATTAAATGACATACTCGGCTTTATGTCCATAAAGTTGTACAATATATTTTTTTTTAATTTAAACGCATTTTGTGAAGTGTGAATGAAACTAAAGGACATATAAGAACACACGAAGTGAGCATTTGCGAGTTATGTATTATTTTGTCCTATTTAGTTATTCCTGAAGTTCAGAATTGCATATATCCCATTTTTAGTCAAAATTCCATTCATTCTTCATCTCAAACCCAGTAAGGGAAGTAGTAAAGTCGGACTGGGCTGACTATATGATACCATTCACCACTTTGGGCATATTCTACATATGTATACGTATGAAGTCACCTTTTCGAAGGAACATTTACGTGAAATTGAACGAATTTAAATAAGTGATCTTTATCTATGTCATTCTGCAACCTATGCTAAATTTTGTAAGTAGATTTAAGGCAAACTTGACACACCCTATTTGGTACGCTGTACTGTTTAAAGGAAACTTGCCAGAGATTAATTCATATTAACTTCAGTACGTTTTGACTTTCAGCTTAGCTATGGGTCTTTAGTGCACCATTTACTTAAAATCGGACGAAAATATATATGGGAGCTATATCTAAATCTGAACCGATTTCCGCGAAACTTAGCACACATCATTTTAGACTTAATATAGTACGCTATGCCAAAATTCGAGCAAATCGAAATTTACAGGGACTTTGTGTTATATCTAAATCTGAACCGATTTTCACGTAACTTTGCACACATCACTCTTGACTTAATTCAGTGCTCAGTGCAACATTTTATGTAAATCGAAAGACATATAGGGACTTTGGTGCACCAAATCGGACGAAAATATATATGGGAGCTATATCTAAATCTAAACTGAATTTCAACAATTGCAATAGGGTTCGTCCTTGGGCCAAATAAATGAGCTGTACCAAATTCCATCCAAATCGGATTATAAATGCGACCTGTACTTTGTTTACAATTTAACATCAACAGACGGATGGATGGATGGACGGACATACAGAAATCGAATCAGAAAGTGATTCTATGTATATTTTCAAAAGTAACCATGCATCGGTCTATCTCGATTCCCTTTGGCTGTTACAAACATATGCACAAATACATAATACCCAGTACCACCGTGTGGTGAAGGGTATAAAAATTGCGGATGTGTCTTTTTTGAACACCTGTTTCTATATGAAGAAGTTGCCAGATCGAAACAAAATTTATATCATAATAACACAGATTAATGTTTTAAAACCACTTAACTTTTTCTGTATATACCGCTCTTTTTGTGCTAGGCTAACAAGCCCTCGTATCTCAAATACTGCGAAGTCTATATTAATTTCAACAGACGCCTAGATAGGGTATGGTTAAATCGAGATGGAATTTTATTTCTGATGAAGATGGGGTCTTCGATTAATATTTCCACGGTATGATGGAGGGTATAATGACTAACTGGCGTACGAAAGTACTAAATGAATTGAAATTTCAGTACCCATTATTTATTGTGCTATTGTATGTAATCGTGTGCTAAAACGTTAAATACTGTCCCACTCCATCTTAAGAGTTATTTAAAAAACAATTAAACTTTTTAACTAATGTTTAAATTAAAACAAATTATTAGCATTTACAGAGAGCTTTTTAATGATGTACTAATCCCGAAAAGTATTAAAAGTTTGCCTCACTTCAAAGACGAAGCCACTGCTTGCTTCAGAAAAAAAACATAATTGCAAAACAAAACTCTGGACAAGTAGAGCATTGCAATAGAAAGTCCTAGGTAAGTTGTTTACCTATTTCATAGCAAAGAAAATCGTATACCAACATTCCGGTCAGGGCACATTGAGTGGCATTAGTATGCCTCAATCGTCCTACATCCACAATGCTTGTTTATATAGAACTAGCTGGACCCGTGGCGCTTCGCTGCCCCTGAATAATGAATTTTTATGCGCTCGTATTAACAATACAGAAATGTGTGAAATATCTATGTGTTCTCTTGCCTTCCTATTGATATTTGTATAGAAGTTATTGATTTGTTCACTGTTTTCTGTAATGTTGGTTATTGTTGTTTCCTTTGAAACTAAGAAAAAAATGTTTTCAATGTACTGAAAAAATTCAATACAAAATTGATACCTATTATACATTTTACACAGATTTTATTTCGTTATAAGTATGTATGTATGTGCATGAAAATGAAGAGAACACGGTTAGTAGAATTACTGAACTGGTCGTTAATAAAGTAAATAACTATTTTGCACATCTTAATATCCCACTATCCGACTTTTAACGTGTTTTCCAGATGGAAATAAATCGTTTTATAATTAAAATCAAGGGTTAAAAAGGGTGTAAGTGACATTCAATCTATGTTTTATATATTTTTGTTTTTAATGAATTGTTAGAGTATGTTAGGGTCTTCACTTCAAATACTATTTTAAATTAACTTATAGCCTAGACAGACGACAGCCTTAATTCAAATTAACTTGTACATTATCCTCATTTTTATGTGTTGTTAATGCACAAAATCATACTGAATTTATACTTAATTAGGCAATTTCAATATGGCAATGCTGTCGAAAATTAATTGTTTCTTGTCAAATTTATTTATATTTTTGAAAATAAAAATAAGAAATGAAGGCAAATTTCAACCATTTTTTTTTAAATTGGGAGCTGTTTTGCTAAGATCATAGTTGATATTACTACTTTATGTCATATATGTATCTATTTCCTAAAGATGTAATCCCGAAAAATATCGAAACAAATGTAAGAAATTTTCATTCTACACACAGACAAACAATTGTTTTGAAGCAAAAAACTGTTTTGTAAATGCAGAAACTCTCGTCTGTCAGGGATAAATGTTAATTCAAATTAAGAAATATTTAATGCAAATTAATGCTGTCGTCTGTCTATGGTATTATTCTCAATTCTTCCCAAACGTGCCATTTTTTATATATGATCAACCCTAATATTCGATATCAGGCATTGACATTTTTTGTATAAGAATAATGTTGTTTTGGTATTTTTTTATTCAAATAAAATTTTTCACAAACTGACAAAAATGAAAAAAAATTATAATGTCAATTATTTAAAGAATTCTTTCTATTTGTATTTCAATACACATACATACATATGTACATATTTTGTATTTTATGTATTTCAAAATATTCCAAAATCTTCGGATGATGCGCAATTGCAGCCATCTTTCTGAACCAAATTTTAAAGTAGCTACATCCCAGTAGTTCGAGTAACTGGCTATGTACTAGTTATTTTACTATTTACGTGTAACTACCACTAGTTACCACTTCATGCCCTAGACTGGTGAATTTAACATGTGTATGTCATTGGGGAAGTCAATTGTCCCTTCCTTGCATTACCTGTAACCAGCCAATTCGGTAGTTATTGGGGAAGTTAATTGTCCCTACTCTGCACTACCGATAACCAGTTAATTCGCTAGTCAGATATGTTAAGCACATTACTAGTAACATGTAGCCAACTAAATGGGTACATCCCAATACCTAGTTATAAGTATATATACAAAATGTCAAATATTGCCTGTTCCATAGTAGCTATAATTAAAAATTGCATTTAATGTGTAGCTTTTCGGGTATTATTTATTTTAATGAAATAGAAAAGATAAATGGATTTTAAATAACATATTAAAAATGAAAATAAAGAAAAACAATGAAAATAAGTATAGGAATATGTAAAAAGACACTGAATTAGTAAATCTGAGAAACTTTAGATTTCGCCACGGATATATTTTTAAACTGTCGTTTCTTTTGCCGCTGCCGTGATTTTCTAATTTGTTCTTCGGGCGATCCACGACTATCCTTCTGCGATGAAATAGCATCTGAAATTTATTTTTAAATTAGAAGGTTTTGACATAGTCAGAATCATGTGTTTAACTTCTTACCTAGTAATACAGTATAAATGTTGTCTAGTTGTTTTAGACTTTTTTGCCATGAATACCGTCAATATTGAACTCCATAGATACTTTGTCGTCAATAATATACTTAAAATTTTTTAATACTCGCGTACTTACGCCCACGTTACTCAGACATATTTTGAAGTCGGTATCTGTAACCTTTCATAAGATATACACAAATTACATGTTCATAATTTCTGAGGCATTAGTACGTTCGATGCTATAACTCCTCATCCACGCCGAATCTTAGAGGTTTATATAACTTATGTTATTCCCAGGACATGTCATGACATTCTGTGAAAGTCTCAGTAAAATCTGTCCAGCGATTTTTAAGTCTACAAACGAAATGTTTTCTGTTTTCAATATGCAGATTTTGAAAATGCAGCAGAAATTGTATTTTCCGTTGATCATACCAAGCTCGTTTTTGTATGGATGGTGTGTATTTACACCTACGTTATTCATACAAATTTTGAAGAAGGTATCTGTAACCGTTCTTAAGATATACTCATATTACATGTTCCGAAATTTTGAGGTATGTTGACTATTGACGCTATAACTCTGCATCCAAGCGGAATTTTAGAAGTTTAGCTAGCCTATGTTACTTTCAGGGCATGTCATGACATACAGTGTAAATATCATTAACATCTGTTCAGCGGTTTTAGCGTCTATCGGGAACATACACACAAACAAACAAACAATTTTTTTTTCTATTTTATATACATATATAGATATAGATTTAAATTATTTGTATCAAATAAAAACACACACACATATACATACAAACAAAACGTCCTAAAGAAACAATAAAAAATCTCAAGTGTTGTATTATTTTGCTGATATTATTGTTTGTAAAACATTTGTCTGGCTGTAAAATTTGGTTTTATTTTGGGTTAATTTTTTTAATTTTTTAGGCAACCTTCGGATCGCAAGAAGGAACACATCAAACGGCCAATGAACGCATTTATGGTATGGGCCCAGGCTGCAAGACGGGTTATGTCTCAACAGCATCCACATTTGCAAAATTCGGAGTTAAGCAAGTCGTTGGGAAAATTATGGAAGTAAGTAAAACAAATACATATGCAAATTCACAAAAATGCGTACAAACATATATATATGTTGAGAATATTGAGAATAAGAAGGTTTTCTCAATCGTCAGATTGAATTATACTTGAGAAACAATTGTGTACAACAATAGTTTCTCAAGCATAGTTGAGAATTGCTTGTGAATTCACATTTAAAAAACTATTGAGAATAATAACTTTTCTCAATAGTCAGATTTCTTTAACAACACTTGAGAAACATTTGTGTACAACAATAGTTTCTCAAGCATAGTTGAAAACTGTTTGTGAATTCACATTTTAACAACATTTTTTCAATATTACTAAAAAGAAGCTTAAGAACAACTGTTATTATAAGCTTGTTCTCAAGTGGTATTGAGATTTGATTACTGAATGGTATGTTGGGTAATAATCATAATCATTAATGTCAAATACTCCCACAAATGCAACAAAAGCAAATTATTGTTATTATTCAGATGCAAAAAATTTAAAATGAAAGAAGACAAGAAATCGTTAAGTTTCATCGGGAAAAAAAACTTTTTTTAAATTCTGCACCATTGGGTGTGCCTTCAAAAAGTCTAAAAAGGTCACGAATTTTATGTGAAATCTATAACTAGTAGGTTTTGTTATGTTCTTGGAAAAATTAATACAAAATTACAGAGAATCAGATTGGAAAATTGGGCCAGGAATTTCCAAGAATAGATAATAAAGTGGGATCATTATATGGGGCTATTACAAAAAATAAGGACCTAATTTGAAAATTCTCTAGGAAAAAATGTTCTTCGCCTAGAATTTCTAATGCAAGATTACGGTCACCTTATGCGGTTCAAACTTTCATGATATGGAAAATAGGGACAGTTACCGTTTAATATCAACAATGCAGATGGGCCTTCATATGGAAATGGAGTGGGACCATTGAAAAAATGTTTTTTACCTTCAGGAATTTAAAATGTCAGCATAGATTTATATAATTCACTAAGACTGAAATGCCAAACCTTAAAGATATGATAAATTAAAATGTGGACAATATTAAAGCATGGATTCCAGACACCCAGAATGACAAATGATACCCCTTTCAGTTGGTAAATGCACCTAAATTCTTGAAAATACCGATAATTGGGTTCTTCTGTTATCTGGTTGGCGTGCTAATGATCCTTTCCACTTGCCCTTCTCCCTTCAGCTCGTCTATGAAACACTCCCTTCAGCTCGTCTATGAAAGGCTCCCAGTTTTTTCTCGTCTATGAAAGACTTCCTTCAGCTCGTCTATAAACACTACTTTTAGCTCGGTTATAAAGCCTACCTTCAACACATCTAAAGTTCATCTCTCACATCCAAGCTCGGCTTAATGACTCCCTCCAAATTGTCTATAATGTTTCTCTTCAACTCATATATTAAAACTTTTATCCGCTCGACTGTAATGATTTTCTTTAAATCTTCTGTAACGATTCCCATCCGGTTGCCTATAATTACCCCCTGGCTATAAGTGTAAATGATCATGAGATTAACTTTATCTACACTTCGAAACAATTTATTTCTTGTCACCAATATTGCCCTTTAAGGTCAAATTAATATGTAATTTCTTGTTAAAGATTAATTGCACAGTTCATGACACATTACCTGACACAGCAGATTGCACTTGATCTAAGAATTTGGAGTGCAAATTCACGTATATTTTAGATTCCTCTAAAATGTTTCATCCTACGACATTCAAAATTTTAAAATCCACCCACAGAACTTAAATTTACCATTGATTTTTTCGGCAAATTTCAATCTTACATACTTTTAAACAGCCACCATCTACCGATTTAAAAAAATATAAATTTTAAGATTTTTTTACAAAAAGGCAAATATGTCTGAGTTGGCTGGCTTGCACACGCAATTCCCTAGAAGCATAACCAAGAATTTAATCAAAGTAAAACAAAACGCTCGCTTATCAGTAACACATGAAAAATTAATATTCATCCATCCATGACAATTCCAATGATTTATCGTCGTCTCCACAGCAAAGGCATTAATCATGAAATAGTTTTCCCTTATCAATGCCCAGCTACAATTGAACCATGAAATTTTTCTAGCCGTTTGTGTTTTTTTATATTTTATTATTTGCATTTTTTATTTTTTATTCAATATGTTAAAATTAACAAAGACCTAAACAGCAAATAAACAAATAAAACAACTGATTTATTATACAACGAAAAACAAAACAAATAATATTTTGCGGTTTTCTTGTTAGCATCAAAAGTTTTGAAGTCAAAAAAATGTTAATTAAATATTATGGCGAGCGGTTTTAGTTCAGAGAATGCAAAAAAACCTGATTACAATAAAATATATATTAATATATTTTTAAATTTAATGCATTCAAGGGAGGGAAAGGGACATTTTATTAAGATAAGGTGTGTGGGGTTTGAGCGGAACGGTGTATTAATAAATGTTTTGAAGGGTGTCTTTATAGACATGCAGATGAGAAATATGTATAGACCTGCTGAGTGAAGTCTTCACAGACGAGCTTAAGGGAGTTTCCATAGAGGAACTGAAGGGAGTCTCCAAAGACAAGCTGAGGAAGCTTCTATAAACGAGCTAAAGGAAGCCTTTCATAAACGAGCTGACGGGAGTCTTTCATAGACGAGCTGAAGGAAGTCTTTCATAGACGAGCTGAAGCAGGGAGTCTTTCATAGACGAGCTGAAGCAGGGAGTCTTTCATAGACGAGCTGAAGCAGGGAGTCTTTCATAGACGAGCTGAAGCAGGGAGTCTTTCATAGAGGAGCTGAAGCAAGGTGTCTTTATGAAGGGATGAGATGAAGGTGAAGAGATAAAGGGCAACTTTGTAGACTTTATATACGAGTTGAAGCAGGCAGTCTTTCTTAGACGACCCGAAGATAGGATGATCTGAAGGTGTCCCAAAAGTCGATAGTACTGGATGTCTTTATTTAATCGCTGAAAACGCATAGTCTTGGCAGTGTTGAATATCTGACGCAGGGTGTATTTATAGACTTCATGAAGGACAGGGGGACATAGTCTAGCCGAAAGGCAGGGGGTGTTTAAAGCGACATACAATATTAATAGGCGCAGGGACGCACGCAGGGGGGCGGACGTTTTCATTCCGATTGAAACGCCACCGAAACATAGCCATAGAATTTCCCCTTGGAGACATTTGCACACTAAGGAGAAATTCGTGGACAATTTTTTTCGTCGCCAGAAGATCGTGCGTGGCCATCATTTCCTTAGTGTGTGTGGCCATCATATGGTACTCAAGCGGAAAAGTCGTCACGTGATGAATTTGGTCGAAAGAAAACGAGACCGTTTGCTTCGAACAGCTTATTTCAATAAAACCTTTCGACTATCCACATGGTCGATTGTCGATTTGAATCGTAATCAAACTCCTTCATCACCTGTGACAATCATATAAACGTCTTTTGCAGCAACTAATTTTTATACCCTTCACCACTCTGTGGTACAGGGTATTATGTCTTTGTGCATATGTTTGTAACAGGCAAAAGGAAACGAGATAGACACATGGTTCCTTTTGAGAATATGCATAGAATCACTTTCTGAGTCGATTTATGCATGTCCGTCCGTCCGTCTGTCCATCTGTCCGTCTGTAGATGTTAAATTGTAAACAAAGTACAGGTCGCATTTATGATCCGAATGGGATGAAATTTGGCATAGGTCACTTATTCGGCCCAAGGACGAACCCTATTGAAATTGGGAAAAATCGGTTCAGATTTAGATATAGCTGCCATATATATATTTAACCGATTTAATGTAAATGGCCCCTATATATCTTTCGATTTGCACGAAATTTGGTACAGCCTAATCATTTAGCTCTAGAATTATATCTGCCAAGTTTCGTGAAAATCGGTTCAGATTTAGATATAGCTCCCATATATAGTTTCGTCCGATTTCATGTAAATGGTGCCCCAAAGTGCCTATATATCTTTCGATTTGCACGAAATTTGGCATAACATACTGAATTAAGCCTAGAGTGATGTCTGCCAAGTTTCGAGAAAATCGGTCCAGATTTAGATATAGCTCCCATATATAGTTTCCTCCGATTTCATGTAAATGGTGCCCCAAAGTCCCTATATATATTTCGATTTGCACGAAATTTGGCATAACGTACTGAATTAAGCCTAGAGTGATGTCTGCCAAGTTTCGAGAAAATCGGTCCAGATTTAGATATAGCTCCCATTATATAGTTTCGTCCGATTTCATGTAAATGGTGCACCAAAGTCCCTATATATCTTTCGATTTGCACAAAATTTGGCATAACGTACTGAATTGAGCCTAGAATGTTGTCTGCCAAGTTTCGAGAAAATCGGTCCAGATTTAGATATAGCTCCCATATATAGTTTCGTCCGATTTCATGTAATGGTGCCCCAAAGTCCCTATATATCTTTTGATTTGCACGAAATTTTGCATAACGTACTGAATTAAGCCTAGAGTGATGTCTGCCAAGTTTCGAGAAAATCGGTCCAGATTTAGATATAGCTCCCATATATAGTTTCGTCCGATTTCATGTAAATGGTACACCAAAGTCCCTATATATCTTTCGATTTGCACGAAATTTGGCATAACGTACTGAATTAAGCCTAGAATAATGTCTGTCCAGTTTCGAGAAAATCGGTCCAGATTTAGATATAGCTCCCATATATAGTTTCGTCCGATTTCATGTAAATGGTACACCAAAGTCCCTATATATCTTTCGATTTGCACGAAATTTGGCATAACGTACTGAATTAAACCTAGAATAATGTCTGTCCAGTTTCGAGAAAATCGGTCCAGATTTAGATATAGCTCCCATATATAGTTTCGTCCGATTTAATGTAATGGTGCCCCAAAGTCCCTATATATCTTTTGATTTGCACGAAATTTGGCATAACGTACTGAATTAAGCCTAGAGTGATGTCTGCCCAGTTTCGAGAAAATCGGTCCAGATTTAGATATAGCTCCCATATATAGTTTCGTCCGATTTCATGTAAATAGTGCACCAAAGTCCCTATAGTCCTGTTTAATATACCCATAGTGGTGAAGGGTATCATATAGTCGGCCCCGTCCGACTTTACTACTTTCCTTACTGGTTTTTTTTGTATTTGGATTTTCAGAGGATAACATATTCTATGCTGAAAATGTTACAAATTTGTTTTGGATTTAGCCTCCACCCTAATGTCGCATTCGAGGACCTTGGTGGCCTAACAACTTCTTCACAGATCCTATAGAGCCCCAATACAGAGGTCAGGATTCATTTTCGGTATGTTCAAGGTCGTAGCCCAATTTTCTAAACTGAGTGTCTGTAGTTTGAAATAAATATATTGGCTTGGCAATAATTTACTATAGCACAGCCCCCACATAAAATTGTGGATAGCAATCAAACTCCAGTTGCGATTTCAACTGGCAACGCCACTGAAATAAAACTTAACATCATGAATATCAACTTTTCTCAGTTGCTGTCGATAATACTGTTTTGAGACTTCTGCAACAAGAAATACTGTAAACAAACACAAAATTGAATAGAATATTTCAGAAAAACTAATTATATATGATATGCAAGGCGTATCATCTATTGGAAGGCATTAAGAGATAAATTCCGACGGTCAACAGCAATTCCTCCTCTCTTATACGTGTGTGCAGCTCTGAGGTTTTTTTCGGAGCCAATGACTTCAATCTTGACATGGCACAATCCACAATGTCGGTGGTTTTGACCGAACTTGTCCGGCTAATAGAGGGAAGTCTGTGTAATATTTGCATTGTTTCCAAATTAACAGAGGATAAAAGGGGGAAGAATATTTTTTTTTATTCGAAAACAAAGTTCCCGGGAGTTGTCGGATGTATAGATGGTATACATATAATAGTCCCAAAAGAAGATGTTCGCCATTTTGTAGTCATTTTAGTCATTATTCCAACCAAATTTCAGTTCTTATTGCTAAACACGACTACACAGCTACCAGAAACAAATGGTTGCCGAAAAATTATATTTGAAGCAACTGAAGTTGACAACAGTTGCCATCCATAATTCAAATTTGGCAACTGGCAACCACTAAACTATGGTAACCATCCGTAATCGAATCATAAGATAATTTAAATATCTACCTCATAGGGGAAGGATATAAAAAGTTCGACCCGGACTAACTTTACATTTTAAATATTCCTTTTGTTGTGTTTATATAAATACAGATTATGGATTCCCCCTCCATCTGTTTCTTTTATTTAAAATTTTAGTTGTTCTTCTATTTATTTATTTTTCTTTTTTTCTTATTCGTTTTTCCTTTCAGAAATCTTAAAGACTCCGACAAGCAACCATTTATGGATGTGGCAGAGAAATTACGCAAAACCCATAAGCAGGATCATCCGGACTATAAATATCAGCCACGAAGGAGAAAAGGACGTACCCTCACGTCCAGTGCAGTGCAATGCAATACGGATGGCCTAAAAACGGAAGCATCTGTTACGGCAATGATAAATGGTGCTACGACCATACATAGCAAGAACCATAGCTCTACCGGAGCGACAAAAACACCACCAGAAACCAAATCAAATGGTCAGAACAAAAAACTGTCAACAACAGGCGGAGCAGCAGCATCAGCATCAACGGCCACAACCAATTGTCATTTGTCATCAAAAACCATGGCAACAGCTGGAAATCGTTTGAATGGCAACAAAGCCAATGGCAAACAAAATAACCGTGAACAACCACCGCAACAACAACATCACAACCAGTCACCAATGTCAGATAATGGCAAATCTACAACCCATTTTATTTCTGCAATGGATATTAATGAAACATTAAAGAATTCCTGTAAAAATGTGTCCTCCATGTTGACTCAAGGTCGTCTCTTGGGACCGGCACATATTGCCGCTGATGAAAGTTCAGCGGAATTTATGTTTAATCGTTATGATTATAGCAAATCGTTGGATTCACCTGGTTCCACGACTAGTTCATTGTTATCCTGTGCCACCTCGGCCAATGATTCCCAGCCGTTGACACCACCAGCTACACCATATTGCAACGCTACACAACAACGTTTGACAGGACATCAGGCCACACTGCATCATCAGCCACGTCAAGCAACAATAAATTTGTTGCAGCAACAGGTTAACGATGTTGTGGGTGGTGGTGGCGGTTTAAGTGAATACCAGCTACTTAACATTGAAGGACGTGAATTTATATCCTTGGATGAATATCCTTATAATTCCATGGGAGGGCCTTTAGCTAATAGTGGAGGTGGTGGTGTTGCTCCACTGGCAATAAATGTCTATATTCATGATGGCAGTCATCAATATTCCTCACCTTCCTCCTATGCTTTGCAATTTTATGGCAATCAACAGCAACAGGAACAAACAAACAACAATCATATTCAACATAATTCAATGGAATTTCAAACTTATGGACAACTTGGTAGTTCTGCAGGGTATACATCGGTATATTGTCACACAAATTGTTCTTCATCTCCGACGATGCACACCATTGAACCTTTAAATTATTTCAACATATCCACCCCACCACCACCAGCAGCAACGACAGCCGAACACTCTCCTTTGCGGACATCATGCTCCTCGCCCTACTCAAAGACCACTGCTCTCAAGACGGGGATACCCAACATTATATGGCGCCATTCGCCTCTGCAACAACGGATCTAACATCGGAAGTTGCTGCTGACCACACTAATGAAGATGTTGAAACCAGCATCGAACAATATTTTATGGATCAAATAATGCCCATTGAGTCGACGGCCACAGCCACAAACATCAATGGCATAATGCATCAGGTCTCACCCTCCCTAACCACCTCATCACCAACATCATCGGCGAGTATTGTCACTGCAACATCTGGAATTTCTTTAAACAATTATACGAAATCTCTCATGTATGCGGCAAAAATGGCACACAACACATCCGACACACATGGACTGGAGGATTATACATCAGCTGCCAAAAAGGTATGTCTACCACCTACACCATCAACATCGTCAAGCAATTCGACCGCATCCGGTTCATCATCATCACTGTCGCCACATAAGTTTTCACCTACATCACCCACGACGACCACAGCCACTGCAGCAGATAATATGAATTGTTATTACATGGCGGCACAGATGCACTCCACAACTACTACCGGGGGAGTCTTATCATCACCTATGGTGGCAGCAGAGACGACGACAACGACACTTACCACGGAGGCACATGCCGGCCCAGCTATGGGACATCATTGTAATGATGTATGGCCACAATGGAAATATGCAACACCAACAACAGTCTCACATTTTGTCACACCATACACAAAAGCAACACCTACAACAACATCATCAGCATCATCCACAGCAACAACAATAGCATCATCACCAGCTACTGCAGTGGAACACTTCGTATAATGTATAAAAAAACATAAAACAGCACTAAATTAATTAGTTCTTAAACAATATTTACTTAGCCCTGTTGATGATGAAAGGACAAAAAAAAAACAACAACAAAATTATGACAGCTAATTGACAAAGATAATAGAATTTTGTTGCTCTTCTTAACAATTGACAGACAGTATAAGCCTTTTGATAAATTGAGTTCTGCTGCTGTTTTTTTTTGCATGTAATTTAAGTGATGGCTTTTAAAACACATTGTTTTAATTTTTATCTTAATTTTTATGTGGTATAACAATATTAAATATTTTTTGTATTATTTTTATTTTTTAATATACATATAAAAATAATTTAGTTGGAATAAAATAAATAAATAAATAAAATACATAGAATCACTTTCTGAGTCGATTTATGTATGTCAAATCGCATTTATGATCCGATTTGGATGAAATTTGGCACATGCCACTTATTTGGCCTAAGGACGAACCCTATTGAAATTGGAAAAAATAAGTTCAGATTTAAATATAGCTCCCATATATAGTTTCGTACGATTTTATGTAAATGGTGCCCCAAACTTCCAATATTGGTCCGATTGAGACAAATTACTGAATTAGGTCAAAATTTATGTATGCGAAGTTTTGTTGGAATCGGTTCAGAATTAGATATAGCTCCCTTAGATAATTTCCTCCGATTTTATGTAAATTGTGCACCATACTGTCAATGTTTGTCCGATTGACATCCGTGTTGAAATTACTGCAGGTTGACGTCCTTGATGTTTAGATATAGTTTCCACGTATATCTTCATTCGATTTAATCAAAATAATGGACCAAGTAAGAATAACGTATTTCGGATTTTGTGTCGAGATACGTTTCGGAGATAGCACTGTGTTGCAGCATACCAAATGGTGAATGCCACGGGATAGATCTTATACATATTTTGATCGATAATTGACATTCAATTTTTCATAAATTTCAGATTGGTATGGGTTGTTTTAATTTAGTTCAAATATCTATGTACTTCACGCAGTTAATTTCGACCGATTCCATTTCAATGGTCCTCCAAAGATGCTATGCATATTGTATGTATCCAAAGTGGTGAAGGGTATCATACAGTCGGCCCCATCCGACTTTTAAACATTCCTTACTGGTTCTTATTCTTTCTTCTTGTTCTTTTTTTTTTTTTTTTTTTGAAAATACGTTTCTCCCCTCTCCTTTTCACCCGATAATTCTCCATTGCAACCTATATGTTGTGTTTGCATGTTTTAGACGTTGAGTTTCCGTGTTGCATTAGAAACCTTGGATGACACAAGGTAATGATCCGAATCGATATTCGCTCCTCGTATCGATCGAACGTCTAAAAACTGGACGAATTCCGTCCGTCTATCACAACATGGTCAATTTGATTTCTCGTTGCTTGATCAGGAGAAATCCAGGTGGCCTTGTGTATATCGAGATGCTTGAATCTGGTGATGCTAACTTCCATGTTTTTGCACAACCTCATGCCGATGTCGGATGTTTCTTCATGTAGGCTGAATTTTCCGACGGAGGGACCAGAAATATTTTCCCTTTTGTGATTTTTGCATTAAAATCTCCTAGTATAATTTTAATAGCATGACCAGGACAGCGGTCATATGCTATTTCTAGGCGCTCGTAAAAAATGTCCTTTGTACTCCTGGAGTACATCCGCCAAAGCGAAAACTATGCCTGTTCTGTTATCTATTGTCCACATTTTACAATCAAATTGGTTATAATTTGGCATAGTAATCGTTCAATGTGTACATATTTGTCAGCGTAGGTCCATAAATTATTGTATATCGCTACCCCAATTTCGAATATTTACCCAAAACCTGCCGAAGCAGTTCACATAGGCTGATAAATTTTGGCTCAAATATTTTATCATATGTGGTATGGAACATTTGTTACCGCCAAATCTATTGAAGTACTCGTATGTAATTTCGATATATCCAAAAACTGAATGGAACCGCTGAGGATGGAAACACCAAAACGTGGATATTTTTTGTTCTAAACGGAGCGAAAAATTGTCTGAACCCTGACACTAATTTTTTGAAATAGCAAACCTATTTATAACAATCGATGTGAAATATATAGAAATTTGATTGTCAGTCGTGTCTTTAAGGATGGTTACGAATTCGGCCATTTTTGCTGGAGTCATAGTGAACCTTTTCAAAATAAGACCACATTTAAGGGAACCCCCCCCCCCCCTTCACGATTTTTTATTTTTAAGATTTTAAATTGGCTGGTAAATGAATACCAATGCTTGTTAAGGTTTGTAACTTGGCACATATGTATTTGAAGATTTAAAAAGGAAGAAAAATAATTTACCAAAATTTGTTGTTTTGTTGTTGTTTTTTGGGTTCAAAGAAAAGTCCATATTTTCAATGGCGGGCATGATAACTCCTCACTGGAACATCGGAATCCGAAAATTCCAACTGTTTTAGAAAGAGGACATGTCTGGCTCTCGTATGAACTAGGATTATTGACTTCGCACAACAATTAACAAAATGGCGGAACTTTGAAAAAATGTTTATGGAAAATCGCCTATTTTTTACCACAAACTAAGTTAAAAAATAAGGAAGATCTTCACCGATTGGCTTTATCCTAGTTCATACGAGAACTACACACTCCCAGAGAAACGTGTCAAAATTTGAAACCGATTAGATTATTAGTTTTTGAGTTATCGTGCCCGCCATTCATTTTGAGAAAAACGCGTTTAAAGTTTGAGAAGCCCTTTAGCCGTCACTTGATGCTAACACAATAAATCGGCTATATCTTTAAGAGTTCTTGAAATTTTCACTTGAAATTTTGTAGACACATTCTAGAATTAGAGTAGATTCGAATTAAATCAAAAAAATTT